AACATAGACTCAAAAAAGTTTAAACAATTTGTTTTTCATTTCTTTATTTTTAAATAGATAAAAAAGAATTCTACGTGTCCTTGTACTACTGATCATGGATGGTCAGTAGGTGTCAATTTTATTTAATTCGTTTAAATACTACGGTACTCGTAATACGGCACTTGATATTATAATCATATCTCTCAAGCAAAGAGGAAAAGATTGCAATTAACACTGTTGTGTCATCGGTACATGTAATAAAGTTGGGTATCCCTCAGGGATCGATACTTGGCCCTTTTTTATTCTTGGTCTTCATAAATAATCTTTCTTGTGTGGTAAAAATATGTCTGGGATATTTATTTTTGCAGATGACACCTTTTTATTCTTTAAAGTTAAAAATACGGTTTACAGCAAACAATTTGCTTTTAGACGCAAGAGCAACAAAGTGTTTATAGCTTACACTATCTCATTCGCCGTAGAACGCTGTTATTACTATGTAATACGCACAATACAATTTAGTTTAATGATAACTTCAGAACTCGCAAATCACTACTCCACCTTTTAAGGAGGTTAATATTCTGTCGTTGTTTATTATATAACTATATGACAACATAATGTATTGTCAGAAACTCTTCCCCTGCACTTGCAAGTGCCCTGGCTACTTATACTTATAGATATTACTTTGTTAAAACTGTCATTTTATAAATATATATTTTAATACGCAAAAATCAAAGGTACATGCACATTTTTCGATGTGAATTTACCAATATACGAGGGTGGATTGAAAAGTACTCGGCCTAACCAAGAAAATAAACACATACTAAATCAGTTATATTTTTATTTTTCTACATAATCACCATCAAGTTCAATACACTTTTGCCACCTCCCCTTCCAAGCATTTAGACCGTTGAAAAAAAATGATTCTTCCTTAGAGTCAAAATATGCGTCTACAGCTGCTTTGACCTCGTCGTTTGTCGAAAATCTTTGACCTCCCAAGTACTTTTTTAGGTTAGGGAACATAAAGAAGTCTGATGGTGCCAGATCAGGTGAATACGGCGGATGCGGTAACAGTTCAAAGCCACAGTTGTGAATTTCAGCCATTGACTGTACTGACGTGTGAACACGGGCGTTATCTTGATGAAACAGGACTTTTCTTCTGAGCATTACTCGACGTTTTTCTTTTATTTCCTCTCGTAAACGACGTAGTAAGGTGCAGTAGTAATCAGAGTTTATAGTCTCACCCTTTGAAGATAATCAATCATAATCACACCTTTCGAGTCCCAGAATACTGAAGCCATCACCTTATTTGCCGACAAAATCGACTTAGCCTTTTTTAGGGGTGGTGAACCAAGTCTTCTCCACTGTTTTGATTATTGTTTTGTTTCCGGTGTACAGTAATGAACCCATGTTTCGTCCATAGTAACAAAACGATTCAAAAAATCATCTGCATCGGCTTCAAATAACTCCAAACAGTCGCGTGAAATAGTCAATCGCGTCCTTTTTTGTTCAACTGAAAGCAGTCGCGGAACCCACCTCGCAGACACCTTGTGGAAACCCAACTCGTTGACAATGATGTTTTGAGTTCGTTCATAAGAGATGCCTATAATCTCGGCTATCTCTCTAATTTTTAATCTGCGGTCTCCCATTATTAAATCAAGTACTTTTTTAATATTTTCGTCAGTAGTTGACGTCGAAGGCCTTCCAGAGCGTGGTTCATCTTTCACACTCTCTCTACCACGCTTAAATTCTGCTATCCATTTTTTGATGGATGAATATGACAGAGCACAATCGCCTAATGTACTGACCATGTCATCATGGACGGATTTTGATGATAGCCCCTTCTTATGGAGGTACTTAATGACGGCACGCTGCTCGATTTGCTCCATTCGCGGAAATTATGTCCGATTACGTTGTTAATAAATTTATAAAATCACAACTAATTATCGCACACGTTTCGAACTTCACACAATGAACTAGTCTGAACTGAACTAAATAATGTGGGTAGATTTGATTTTTAGAATTGAATGGATCTGTGTTAGGCCGAGTACTTTTCAATCCACCTAGGTATTAGTAGCCAGGAGACATGCAAGTGCAGATCAAGAGTTCCTGTAAGCATTTTTTAACAGAATTTCCATAAAAAGTTTTTCAGACAATGTTGCACTAGGTATTTCAAAATTTTGTAATTATATTTTATTCGTTTAGTTGGAAAAGGATTCAATTTTAAGCCAATCAAAGGAGGTAAGGAGATTCTTAGGTACTTCTAGCATGTGACCTCGACCCGTTCTGAAGGTAACGGTCCGTTTTTTATTAAATAAATTTATATTTTTCCGTAAGTACATAATATCCAATTCTAGGATGAGAAACGATAAAATTGAAATAAACGAGACATTAAATGTACGATTATGCTTAAATTTCCGTTTCAGCTGGACCATAACTAAATAATGCGAATTTTAGATATTCTGACTGCTTGAATAAACGTTACATTTTAAGCTTAAAAGTTAATTTTTTTTTAATTTTTAATAACCTTCCAAATAACATAAAAAATCTAACGAATATTACATAATGTTTATCCAAATTAAAGTTCTATTTAATTGAAAAGTGTTTCTATAATTTAAATAAATATTTTGATACAAATATTATTTAATTTGTGTGAACAACTTCGGCCTCTGCCTATCTAATTTAATTTAATTGTTTTTAATTATTATTGTTATTTAATTTTATTTTTTTATTTATAATAATTATTATTTTTATTTTTTTTTTACTTGACATTGTGATTATTAATTAAATTAAATTTACAGAATTTTAAAATAATATAATCTATTAATGTAATCTATTAATGAAATCTAATATTGTCATTTAAAAATAATATTTAATATTTTTATAATTGCTACGCCCAAACTGGATTCAAATGCGGACTATTTAAAAAAAAAACACTACTTCTATTAAAAGAGCTAAAGAAAGCTAAAATATTAACAATGCTATTTTAAATAACGGTGCTATTTAACGTTGCAGGTCGCCTCTATCTGGGAGGTGTGAGCGCGGAGAGTGGGCAATGAGAGAGGCTGTATTTGCCGCGGGACAAATTGCCAGTCCGAAGCACTCACCTGCCCGGAGCGATTATTGTCCGGGTTGCTTCTAAGCTTTGATTTTTACTTGACGAGATTCTAAATCAATCCCGGACGCAAGTTTGGGACCATTTTGGAACTTGTAGTTTTTTGTATTGCAAATCAAATATAATACATAATTACTGGCTGTTAGGCACTCAAGATTTTTAGGAATAACAACGAATTTATTTCCTTATTTGTTTGAACTTGATTGAAGGTGTCTATGAGCTGTAGGGTGTAGGCACTTTATGGACTTTTAGTTTTTAAATTGCAAAATTTGGTTCAGCTAATGAAAGGGGGAGGGATCCGATAGTAAGAGTCTACCGACGCTCATGAACATCAACAATATCAGAGGCATTGTAGGTGCGTTGCCTGCCTTTTAAATAGGAACAGAACGGCCAAAAACGGAATAGTGTTTCCATAAACGTGTTTGGAAAAACTGGTTAAAGTAAATTCCAAAATGATGTCTTCATTACATAACTACTGGATGACCTTTATACCGTCTAGAAAAAAAAATAGGATGTAACATGTGAACGGAATCTATATATCTAATCTATTGCACAGATATTTTACAAAAAATGTAAACGAAAAGTTTGAACTAAATAAACGAATAAATTAAAATCCATCGAAATTCAAATCATATCCACCCTACATTACGAACGGCAATATAATAAATTTAGTAGGCATCTTTGACCTTGTCACTTCGCAGGGTCACAGGCTAGGGTGGATATGATTTGAACTTCGATAGATTTTAATTAATTAATTTATTTAATTCAAAATTTTTGTTATTAATTTTTATAAAATATCAGTGTCGTAGGCTTCTACTCCGTTCACAAGTTCCATCCTATTTTTTTCCAGACGGTAAAAAAAAATCATCCAATATAATACACACTGGAAAATGTAACATCTCGACAAGGTTTTTTGGTAGGTTCCCCTTTCTAGTTCAGCAGAAATATCAATGGCGGCACATAGGATCTAACGGTTGATATAAAGTTGCCGGAATGTTACTCGAGTCGAGCTCCTAGCCCTGAGTTACAATAACATACAAATAAAAAATGTTAATACGAATATTTAATATTTACTTTGTGATGGTAGCGTAAGATAATCTATAACAGATTTCGTCCAGAGGGTGTCATAAAAGGCGATTTTGGAAAATGCCAAAAATCTCTTTCGGCTTCCGATAGATGGCGGTATAACTATTTCGTTTGCGTGAGATGTAAAAGTAAAATATTCAAAGTGCGCAGCGACGTTAAAGGCATAGATAATACTACATAGATATAGATTTACTGCATAGGGCAATTATAATTTACCGAAAAAAAATTATAAATTACCGAAAAATACACTAAGAGGGCGCTATCAACTAGCTTAAGTATTATTTACGTATATCGTACACTTTAATAAATTTAAAAGGAGGGATATGTATGATATTATTAGAAAACTAACTATTTGCAATACATATATTATTAGGTATATAGCTTCTTTCAAAAAACCACGATTTGGTCAATTACAACATTATTCAGAATTATTCTTTATATATACCGCAGTATTTTAAAACTTTGATGGTGTGATTTAGACTTCGGTATAAATGATAAATGTCAGCAGTGACGCAATTTTTGAATATAATGTGTAAATTAGTGGGGAAAATAGTGCTTTTACTGACTGTGAGATGGCGCTAGTATTAACGTTAAAGCAAGCTACTGAGGACTTTCATACCCCTGGTCGAAGGTATAAGACGTTTGATTCCTCGGTCGACAGTGTTTTCTTAGCCACATTAAAATAAATCATTGTTAAATTGTAAAAAAACCGATGCTTAAAGAGCTGCAATCGATTAAAGGAGTCACGGAGAATTAACCGTAGCTTAGTGCATATATATATATATATAAGCCTTTCGCTAATATTTATTAAAGTGTTACTTACGGATCACTTGCGCGTCGTTTCATTGGATCCATAGGGTGATGCTGTGCGAAGATTTCATTTCCTTCTCCGCTGGACTCTAAGACGAGATGTTCGTGACTTCTGATGTACTGGAGAGGTGTCTGAGATCGATTATGAAGTTATTAATTTCTAGTTTTAGTTTTTTTTAAGTTTAAATTTACTACAAGATTTATGCAACAGTGTTCTAAGAGTTTTTTTTCTTTCATGCAAGAGGGGGCAAACTAGCACACGGTTCACCTGATGTTAAGTGACTACCGTAGCTCATGACCAAACGGGGCTCAACACCAGGGGAATTGCAGGTGCGTTACCGGCCCTTTAGAAAGGAGTAAGCTCTCTTGAAGGTCCCCAGGTCGCATCGGTCCGGAAAAATCGCCGGTGGTAAATTATTCCACAGAGAGGTCGTACGCGGAGAAAAACTCCTAGTGAAACGTATAGTGGTGGACCGCCAAGTATCCAGATGGGGAGGATGGTATCGGGAGGTTTACCGCGTAGTGCGTTCATAAAATTTGGCGGCTGGGATTAATCCGAACAATTCGTCAGAGCACTCCCCGTGATAGATGCGATAAAATACGCAAAGAGAAGCAACATCTTTTGTGGTGCCACTGAATGGAGCCGATCGAAAAGCTCTCGGTCGTCGACGATTCGAGCCGCTCTGCGCTGGATGCGGTCAAGTGAAAGGAGCTGGTACTGGGGAGCTCCAGCCCAGAGATGGGAACAGTATTCCATGTGCGGCCAAACCTGCACCTTGTAAAGTTGCAGGCGGTGTGCCAGCATGAAATACTGTCCCGCTCTGCTGAGCACGACAAGCTTTTTAGAAGCCTTCTCTTGGAAGTGACCACGAAACAGTACGTCACTCGATATGTCGACGCCGAGGATTCCGATACTGGCAGAGGCAACAAGGGGAGTGCCTTGAAACTGAGGAGATACGACAACGGGGATCTTTTTAGCGGTTAACGCGCAAACTAGCGTTTTCTGAGGGTTAAACGTGTACAGAGCATCACCAGTGCTGTCATCTGTATAGTAATGAATGTTGCAGGTTTGTAACATATCATTAACATGCAGAAGAAACAGTGTTGGTGATAGCACGCAGCCTTGTGGAACACCAGCATTAATAGACTTGTAATAGGAGCTTGCACCGTCTACAACGACCTTGATGCTCCGATCTGCAAGAAAGCTGGTGATCCAATTGCACTATTTTTCGAGAAGCCCATTGGAAGGGATCTTCAAAAGAAGCGCTTTGTGCCGAATCTGATTGGAGGCCTTCGCAATGTCCAAACTAACGGCCAATGCCTTCCCCTTAGACTCTACTGCCACCGCCCACCTATGAGTCAGGTAGAACAGAAGATCACCAGCTGATCGATCACGACAAAAATCGTATTAGCGATCACTAATCAGCTGGTGATTCTCAAGGTAACTCATGAGCTGGCAGTTTACAATGGATTCCAATGTTTTGGAGAACAAGGAGGTGATGGCGATGGGCCTGTAGTTGGATGGGTCTGAGTGGTCGCCTTTTTAGGGATCGGGTGGATGAAAGCAGTCTTCCATGGTTTTGAGACTACACCTAGAGAGTAGGAGTACCGGAAAGGACGCGTTAAGACCGGTGCCATCTCTGGAGCACACGTGCTTAGCACAATTGGGGGATACCGTCAGGCCCACTTTACTTGTGGATGTCCAGGGAGAGAAGTGCTTTGCGAACCGAGCGCTGTGTAAACCGCACCTCCGGTATAGAGCACTACACCGCGGGATGGTCAGCGGCGTACTCCCCCCGTCATCGAGAGTCGTGTTGGACGCAAAGAAAGAACCTAGCAGATCGGCTTTCTCCTTTGTGGCATGGGCCAGTGAGTCGTCCTCCCTATGCAGAGATCAAAGAGATGGCTGACGGAAATTCCCCTGGACAGCCTTGATGAGAGACCAGAATGCTCGGGTTCCAGAAGTAAGAAGGCTATGACTCTTTTGAAAGACCTGGAAGCGGAATCATACTTCTTTTTAGGGCTCTGGTGTTTACATCCCAAGACATTGATGCGTCAGCCCAGGCTTGGTAGCACTCCTGCTTATAGCAAGATGCTATTTTACAGGAGCGACCAAATCATGGCTGAGATTTGCCTCCGATGGGCACTAGAGAGGAAGGACTAAAAAGTTCCACTCCCTGAAGTACCACATCAGCGACAGAATCAGCAACAACGTTGGGATCGTACGGCGAGAAGCAAACCCACCCTCAAGGGTAGAATGCAAAGAAAGACCGCATCCTATCCCAATCGGCTGAGCTTTAGTGCCAAACACGGTGGCAGCCTGCGGAATGCAACCACGATTACAGCGTGAGTGGACACACTCCGGACAAGACATCGGTCCGAGGAGCTTGAACGGGCGTCGACTGAAATCTGATATCCGTCCGGATGAGAGGTCAGCAGAAGGTCCAACAGTGATGGTGCATGATCCTCCACATCTGGAATCCGCGTAGGCGAAGTAACCAGTTGAGTCAGACCATATGCCAAGGCAAAATCATGAACAGATCTCCCCGCATGATCGGTTAAACGTGAACCAAGCCACTCGGTTTGGTGGGCGTTAAAATCGCCGAGGATCACGATCTCTGCGAGGGGATTGTAACAAAGAGTCGGTAGCCATTTGGACGTGGTCGAAGAGTCGGTATGTTCCGGCATTACCGCTATGGGACATGTAGAGGCACCCGTAGACGCACGGATGGTCGTCGCTGTCTACGCGTAGCCAAAGGATGGACAGGTCCGAACCTTCAAGACTGCCGAGGCGTCGAGAACAGATGTCCTCTCTGACGTATACGCAAACTCCAGCCCGAGGCACAAAGGAGTGTTCCAGTTCGTACCTCGGATAGGAGAGATACGAAGCATCAGCCGGAGAGGACACCTGCGCCTTGAAAGTAGATTTTTCGAAGTCTTCTTAATTATTGCCAAAGCATGTTTGCCAATTTTTTTTCTTAATATATTAGTTATAGTACTTATGTAGACCTTATGTTTTTGTCTCTGTCCTTATCCGAGTTTTAGTTTTACAGGACGGCAAAGCTTAAATTCAAATTCATTTATTTGCCAGAATGTATGTGTGCAATAAAGTATGATCTTTAATTATGTCTAATGGTCCATTTACATTCTACCACTTTATATGGTGTGCAAATATTTTATAGGTATACATGCAAAAAAAAATTAAACAACAAGTGGGAATTCAATTTCGTACATTTATGATTAATTGATGTCAGTATCATGTCATTGGTAATAGGTTTTAAAATGTCACATTGTGTAATAATTGTTCTTAATTATTAATTTCCATACTTTCATGTTGTTCATAGTTAATTAATTATTAGAATATATACTATTACTGACTTCAGATTTATTTTTCACAAAAAGATATAAATTCATTTAGGTCGTTAAACATTTTTCTTTTAACCATTGTATCATTTTTTTTAAACATGGTTAAAAGTCGTTGGGTATTTTGTTATACACCTTTATAGCATTTACGTAAGAGTTCCTTTCATACAATTTGAGGCTGCATTGAAGTAAATATAGTTTGTGTCTATTTCTAGGAGCTACATTTCGTTCAGTTACATCTATCTGCCTTTCAAAGTGTTCAGGATGTTGTTTTACAAATATGCATATTTCTTTAATTTACAAGCATGTTAATGTCAAGATATTGTACTTACTAAACAAGGCTACTTACAGCTATCCGTATAGCCTGCTCGCACACATTTTTTTTTGTACTCTAAATACCTTTATTATATCTACTGAATTTCCCCACAATAAAAGACCATATGATAGTACTGACGAAATATATCCGTGATATGCACATATAGCAGCATAGACAATTCTGTCTAGTTTGTCACAAACGTAATCGACATGTGTTTTCCAGACACAATTTTGATCCAACATTATACCCAGAAATTTAGTACTTGCTACTTGTTCGATGTTTATATCATTATATACTAGTCAAAACAAAACAAGGGCCACCACGTTTTTACAGTATTCTCACAAATTCTTGAGGTTGAAGGGTTGATTAATGATTAATTGATTTTTATTATAAACAGCATAAAATAATGACGGAAAGAAAAAAAATTACACCACTTTTTCTGAAAATTAATTTTTTTGAAAAGGAAAAGGTGAGATAAAAAATTAAGTGAAAAAAAAAAACAAATAGTGTTGGTTGATTTGTGGCTTTCCTCAATATCTGGTGTGCCCTCCTCGTTTTCTAATGGACTCTTGAAGCCTGGAAGGTACACTTTCCACCAGGTGTACTTCGTTTGTGCTTCGAATATTGCGTTTCAGTAAATCTCACATGTGTTCAATGGGATTGAGATCCGGACTATTTGCAGGCCAGGGCAGTACCTGTATACCAGCCTCCTCTAGGGCTTCTCTGGTGGCCCTAGCTGTATGAGCGCGAGCATTATCGTGCATCAGATGGAATCTTGCTCCGATTCTCTGTGCATATGAGACCACATGCGGTCTAATGACCTCCTCGATATAACGTTGAGCTGTAATTGTGCCTTCGTTGAGAATAACCAACTCGGTTCTACCTGATATAGAGATTCCTCCCCACACCATAACATTGGGGCCCTCAAATCTATCACTTTCATTGATACAAGTATCCGAAAATCGCTCACCGTCACGCCTCCAAACCCTAAAGCGACGGTCATCACTAGAAAATTTTACTTTGCACTCATCCGTAAACAGTACTGTGCTCCAATCACTCACATCCCATGCCAGATGCTGCCTTGCGAACGATAATCGGTTTGTACGATGGGCACTTGTTAATGGTATCCGCACTACACGTCTCCTGGAGAACTGCTGGTCCTCGTGTAACCGATTTCTAATGGTTTGATCACTGACGTGTGTACCCGTCGCCTGCCGCAAACGGTTTTGTAAGAAGTGGGCAGAGATGCAGCGTTCTCTGCGCGCAGTCAAGCGCACGTAGCGATCCTCCTGTGCTGTAGTTGCTCGATTTCTGCCAGATACCCGTCTCCTGGTTAGTCTTCCAGTCTCTTGAAAACGATTCCAAGCATTCTGGATCGCTCGTCGGGATAAAGCTGCAACGCCACAGAACGCTGCGAATGACCTTCTTGAAGCAATGTTACGGTCCTAGTTACAGTTGGTAAGTCCATATGTCGTCGAATTCTCGGCATAACTTTTTTAAAATGTTAATTCAGCCACTAGTTAAACAAAACTTAAACCGTTCTTGACAGAATCGTCACTTGACTGAGTTAAAATCTGTCTTAAATCGGGTAGAATCAAGTGGTTACAATAAATTATCAAAAACTACCCACTTTAAACAATTATGAACCTGGAATACTCAAAAAATATGTCCGAAGTTGAATTATTTTAATTTTCCCATATTAATCGGTAAATTATTACAATAAAGCCAGTCTATTATATTTTAATTGCTTTATTTATCTCTATTTCATATGTATCTGCATTTAAGGTTACATTACCCTCAAGTAACTTAGTGTTCTGTGACGGAGATCGTATTCCTTGTAATTTTATTACCTACTAGCTGTAACCCATTATTTGGAGTTGAATGATATATAACTTTCAAATGAATTTGTCGGTAGAATTCACGCGCCATCTACTGTAAGTTAATTGTACTATGCCTATAAACTTCGCGCAAGTGCAAGCAATAAGCTGACAAAGTTTTGTATAAACAGTACGGCAACGCATAAAATACGAATTAAAAAAAAACATAAATTTTTATTTATCAGATTGCCAATTCTTTTTTTTTAAAGATCAGAAATTATTGTGCATAAAATATTATTTTAATAACTTGGTTTTTTATTGACGGCTTTTATTACTGGTCATCAAAAAAATAAAATTATAAAGAAAAATCTGTTTTTATTTTTTTAAATTGTATGTGCTAGAATTACAGGGTATATTATAATTGATTTCTGCAAACCATTAGAAATAAAACGAGAATATACCTGTTTGGCTCTTCTAGCTCGAGCATGCAAGTCCCTTTGTGCAAGGGGCAGCAAAGCACGAAGAAACCCGGGCACAGAAGCTCGGAGAGGATAGTTTGTGCACTCTTGTACTCCAGCTTGGAACTCTTCGATGCTCATAGTGCCAGCCTTTATATAGAAAACAGTAAATATTAGGAACAAAGTCGCTTGTCAGTCTACCTGTACGTATGCTCAAAACTCCAAAATTACTTTTTTATTTAGGATAAGGGTGACAATCGAGCACACAGTCCACCTGATGATAAGTGGATGCTGTGGCCCATAGAAGACATCTACGTTTAACTTCGATTCAAAAGAATCGAAAGAAGAAGAAAGAAAAGAAGAAAGAAGAAAAGAAGAATCAAAATGCAGATGCGTTGTCACCCCTGTGGACTAAGATGGAATGCCTCGATTCCGGTAAAACGAGTCTCCGGTTCTCTACACTCACCATATGAAACACAGCAGCATTAAACTGCTATTTTCCGCTGGTATTCTGTGAGAGAGTGGTCCTTCCCCGGTCAAGTCCACCCATGTGCTACAACCATAATACAATTGCAGCGTGACCACCACGTATATACTTTAAGGATTTGATGAGATTTTTGCTATTATTTAAAAATTTCATCATTGTTTCAGTACAACTCCAAAGCGCGATTCTGAGCCAACTGCTTTACATCGATCTCCTGAATCTGGTAAAACAGGTAATCCCTCCATCTAGTGGGGAGCGCCCTACACTTCGCTTACAAATAAAATAAAATTTGAAAAATCTTTAAAAATATATTTTTTTTAAATAAAACCTGCAATATAAAATAGAATTACACATAATTATATCATAATGTGTACAGCAAAGGTGTGGAATAGTTTGCCAGTATTTGTCGGAAGTTTCCCGAATACAATGTGTTTATCGTCAAAGCAAGTGTGAATACGCCTTGGTGCGATTTACCGTCTAGGAATTCATCACCGTGCGAAGTCGCCCAGCAGGATGTATATAGGCTGTAACTATACCTCACCAGTATGCATGGTAGGGCTTACCTTTCTCCTAAGAGTTTACCTGGGATATCCATCCACTTAGGTATTTCAGCCGTCAAGAACAATGCATATGTCGCAGCCAACAAGCTTAATTAGCCGTTCAATCAACAGCCTAGCCTTTTTACTAAACAGCACCGTTCAACTAGCGGCCTGAGTGATATTCCGCCCATACGTTTCATCCGATGCGTTTTATACAAAATTTCATGCCTAATTATGCACTATACGCTATATTATTTAAATATACGCGGCTTTGGGGTGGCCCTTGGCACCGTAACCACAGAATAAATAATTGCCCTAACCTACTGTCACTATTACCAGCTAGTTACAATGTTGTATTAGACTCAGCTGCTGAATATCATTTAGGCACCTAATTAAACATAAAAAGGCTAAGTTGTTAATTGAACGACTAATTAAGCTAGTTGGCTGCGACAGCTTGTACTATTTTTGATTAAACTTTGAAAAACACCATTAAATATGTAGTTTAAAACCGACGCCACATTGACACAGTTAGGAGATTTTCAGTCCTAGGTGGCAGAAAGTAGAACTGAATAGAAATGAACAGGCTAGGCAAGTAATGAAACGTCATCGATCCAAGTCATTTGCCTAGCTGTTTGATCAAATTGCTGAGTACCATTCCGGTCGCCAGTTGAACGCCGCTGTTTCCTCGTAGTAAAAAGGCTAGGCTGTTGATTGAACGGCTAATTAAGCCAGATAGCTGCGACACATACACAGTTTTGGTCAGATGGATACTGTTAGGCAGTATAATTCTGAGTACTGAATTACGTTAGATGACATCGCATCTGCAGCCTTTTTGTTAGTATTTGATTACATGCGTCCCCGTGGCTTTTGGTAGTAACTATTTCTTTTTCTTATTTGGCTTGCAAAATTCAACATTTTTTATAGAATAAGGTGACTAACGTATACCCACAATTAAGAATCAATATATAGATACGCTATCACCCCTGAGGACTGATACGAAATGCCTCGTTACCAATTATAAGGGGCTCCGGCTCTCAACTCTCACCGAACATAACACAACAGCATTAAGCTGCTATTTCACGCTGGTATTCTTTGAGAGCGTGATCCTACCATGGCCGAGCTGACTCACTCGTGCTACTCATAATATAGCTGCAGCGTGGCTCTATCACGTGTAAACTGAATCAACTGCTGATCATGGACTTTTCCTGTTGAAGGATTCCCGCAGACGCTCGCAATGCTGTACATTTTGCACCGTAGATGCTAAAAGCACTTAGCAATAATACCTTTATAAAAACTTCTTACCACCAAGTTGAAGATAAGTTGGCGAACTCTCTCTCCAGTGTCAGCACTTCCCTCGGGAGCAAACTGTTGCAATGCTGAGAGGAACCGGCGGAGGCGCTGAAGCGCTGGAGCAGTCTTCGAGCCATCTGGCAGTGGGGGAGATAGAGACTCCGTCGAAGATAGGTTGGCTAAAGGAAAACCAAACACATAGTCATGTTCATAACCGTACACAAAAATAAAATATCTAATCTATACAAATAAAAATTAAATTTAAGCGTGTCTGTCGAAATAATCTACATTATCGAAATAACTGCCTTACATTAATAATAATAATAATATGTATAATTTATTTAGTTCCAAACATACACACAAATTAACATAACAGAATAATTTCATGGAATAGAACTAAAAAGGCCTCTACTCAGCAGAAGTGTTATAGAAACCACATAGTGGTAACCACAACTACTGATATTCAGTTAACGCCAGACAGGTGAAATAAACTTAACTAACACACATTCACAGGTTCCGACACTTATAAAAATACACACTATACTTATATGAAAAAACACACTTATAAAAATTTAAAAATAAAATTAAAACTGTTAACATTTAGGAAAAAGGCACACCAAAAAGCCAACACAACAAAAAGCGCTACAATAGGCATGTGCAAGGCACAAGGCACACAATTAATTCGGAGGCAGTCACAGTTTCTTCGGCGCTTGAAAAAACTTGCCTTTTATTTTTCTTTGACTCTTGGGAACAAAAAAAAATCACAAGGAGTTAAGTCAGGGCTGTAGGGAGTCACCAGACGTAGTAGCAGTAGTCACCCAGACTTAGAGTTTCAACACCAGATTCCTCAAAAATGTTTTTGTTCTAAGGATCTGCATGATTCCCGAAGCCCGGTCTTAGTTTTTCTTTCATGCACCGCTTGAAAAGCTTTGGATAATGCTACTGTAGTATACCATTCAGAGTTGACTGACCTACAATTTTCCAGCATTGATGTTGACAAATGACCGCTCCGCGAAAAAAACTAGCCATCATTTTTTTGCCGACGTTGCGAGGTCTTCGCAGTTTTGTCGGTAACTGTCCTTCTGGCTAGACCCATACCGATGATTGCCTGTGCCTTTTATTTTCCGGATCATATTGATAGATCCATGTCTCGTCACCAGTAACGTTTTCTAAAACACGCCTAGATGCCCCGTTTTCAAATCGTTCAAAACGCATTTCATGGCACCAATCCACACTAGTCTGTTTCTCGCTTTCGGAGAGCAAACGAGGGATCAATCGACAACAAAGCTTCCTCACTCAAAGATGTTGATGTAGGATGGTATGAATACTCCCCGAACTAATGCTTACAATCTTTTCGATGTCTGTACATGTGAATCGTGGGTCTTATCACACCGACATTTCAGTAGGCCATACATTTTCTGCCGTTACTGCTGTTTGCTGCCGTTTGACCAAAGAACCAGGTCATGTTTAAAGTTAATTTTAACACTTTTGAATTCAACAAACCACCAAAAATTGTAGCGCGTAATAGAGCTGAGCCCCTAATGCTGATTGTAACCGTTGTAAACTTAATTGTTCGGTTAAACCAAATTTAAAATCATAATAGATCATAGCGCGCAAATGTTCACGGTTAAAATCCATCGTTTTAAATGTAAAAGTGCGGGAAACGTTGCAGGAAAACTATATAATAGAACTTTTTTTTTAAATATTGAGCAATTGGCTTATGGAGGATTTTTAAATAAATTTGCTTTTTAGAAACATATAACACGTGTGAGTTCCATTTTTAAATTTCGAGCATCTCAAAACTTACTGAATGACCTACGTAATATATAGACAATAATATATACTTAAACTTTGAAAATTTAAGTTTTCGTTTCGAAACTTTTAGTTTTATTTTAAAAGTGAGAACTGTTTTGCTGTTTTTGATCGACATTGACCTAAGGGGGTTTATTTGCAAGTCATGAATACCCATTTTTCAAGTTTTTGTGCGTTTGTCTGTTTGTCTGTCTGTACGGGCTGATCTTCGGAATGGCCGATCCGATTCTAATGAAACTCAACGAAAAAATAGAGAGCTACGCCGGGAGTGATTTGAGCTATATTTAATTTTAAATTTTTGGACATTTAAAAAAATCTAAATATTTATCTTAAATCTAAAAACTGTCAGAGTGCTCTACTCTCGATATGTATAAAATCGTTCTTATACTTTTGGCATAACAAAAAATTTAATTGATAAAATATATGGACTGCCGTTGGTCTGTGTATCGGTGAGTGTTCTCGCTCAATAGAAATGTAAGTAATAGATTGAGATATATACATAGTATTAAATAAGATTTCATATATTCTAAAGAGGATCCCTATTGATTTTTATTATTGAAATCAACACCGTTTAAAAGTTATTAATGAAAGTCGATCAGATTTTCTGTTTTTTTTTTTTAAATAAGCGTGTGAAGACAAGGAACCTTGTTCTTGTCCTTTGTTTAGTTTTCAATTTCTTACAAAGTTTATGATATAGCAAAGTTGAAGTTTGTCAAATAATTTTAATAGTGGACATCTGGACCTTAATCTTACTTATTTATTGTAATGATATATTTATATGTTTTACTTTTTGCAATTTTATTATAATATTGCAAAAAATAAAAAACTCAAACTCGCCCAACAAGCTATGGAGAGGCATATGCTCAAGGTTTCCATTGTTTCATTGCCGCTTGAAAAGCAGGGTGCGTATGATTTGAATTTCGATAATATTTAGTTAATTTATTTATTTAGTTCAAGTTTTAATTTTTGTTTTTATTTTTTAGTATGGAAGTTTACTTCAAGTAAGTAGTATTTATTGATAAATCAATTTCATAATATTTTAATGAAAAAAAAAAAGAATTGTAAAATTGCCATAGACTTCTACTCCGTTCACCTGTTACACCCTAATTTTTCCAGACAGTAAAAAAGTCATCCAGCATATATAAGGAAATGAAATATACGAAGAATTACGGTTTAGATTACATACCAGCTGTACCGTTATTTTGTGGGCTGGGCGGTCCAGGAGTTGGAGACACTCTGCTCTCCTCCTGTTCCGGTGACCGCCTTTCCTTACCGCTGGCAGTGGCTGTAACAAAAATCGTATTTTACCAAGTTTTTATTGATTCGGTACAATTTTGCAGTTGATTTCAAATTAACTTCCCGACGAGTTAGAGACTTTAAACTTTAAATATAAGTAGCTTGTAGCTGTATGACAACGCAATATAAACTCACTATCTTGTCTGTGTGTTTGGTTGTTTTTTATAGCATTGGATGACAAACGAGCACACAGTCCACCTGATGGTAAGTGGATGCTGTGGTCCACAGACATCCACATGTATCTTTTATAAGAATCAAAATGCAAAAGCGTTGTCACCCCTGAGGACTAAGATGGAATGCCTCGATTCCAGTAAAAAGGGTCTCCAGTTCTCTACGTTCGAAACACAGTAAGCGTTACGCTGCTATATTACGTTGGTATTCTGTGAGAACGTGGCCCTACCCCGGTCGAGCCAACACATTCGTGCTACAACTATAATATAGCTGCAGCGTGTCTCTACCATGTTTGTCTGTTACTAACTTAGCAATCGATTTTAAACCTACTTCCCGATGACTTAGTCATTTGTAACTTTATATGTAGCTCGGGATTAGAAACGTTGTGAAAATGATTGCCATTTTTAATTATAACTTGTAGAATCCTGTAGTTAATCAAAGACAGATCAACAGCCCTATAAGTCCGATTCCTCTTTTTTCCATTTTCTTCAAAATTATGATATTCAAGAAAAGGTTTATTCACGGTAGCGATCATCGTCTGATATCTACATTAATAACAAATACCCTGTGGTTCCCGTTAAGTGCCTCATTCGCTCAGTATTTAAACGTATAGAAATGACTTCACTTCAAAAAACTCAAGCATAATTTTTTTTAATTAATTTCAATCAATTTTTATATGCAAATTGTTATTATTATTATTTATTTTATTCTTTCTTGCATCCTTAAACAAAAGAATACAAAAGGCGGACAAATTGTATGTTTTTTACTATTTCTATAGGTTTAAATACTGATTATGATAACGCACCTAGCGGCAACCACAGGGTTTTTGTAATACGCTGTATAGCTTCATTTCTTTACGCCGTTATTTGTTTAGAATAAATGGCTATGCAGCGAACGATAACCCCGCCAAATTGCACCTTCCAATTAATGAGCTTTTTTAATGTCACCTATATCTTTTTGTTTTGTAGTTCACAATAAAAGTATAGTGAACGGCAGAGTCGGAAAGGCGTCCTAGGCGAAATTTTATCGATAAAATTGGCGATATATTTAAAATGAAACAAATTAAGAATACCCCTAACCGACGAGCATGTATGCTTAGGAGGCGAGAGAGGTGTGTCGGGATCGTGCCAAATAGAAGTCTGTAGTATCTGCCTATCCCTCTGGGTGACAGACGTGAGTGTTTATGTATGTGTGTAATAATAGTATATTACTTAATTCATTGATTCATCCATTTTACTACACATACTACTCGTATGTGTGATAAAACGAATGTAAGGACAGTATTTACATACATATTTCAAATTACATATTCTTTTTTTAAAGAAAATGACAAACGAGCACACAGTTCACCTAATGGTAAGTTGATATTGTGGCCCAAAGACATCTACATTTGTCCACAGTTTAGGATCAAAATGTAGAATGATTTATTGGACTAAGATAGAATGCCTCGTTTCCAGAAAAAAAGGTCTCCGTCACCCAACACTCACCATACGAAACACATCAACACTAAGCTGCTATTTCACGATGCTATTCTGCGAGAGCGGTCCTTACTACGTCGGGCTGACCCATTCAAGTATAATATAGCTGCAACGTGTCTCTATCACACACCTATAAATTATTAAATTATTAAATTACTATATTATCATTTGTGCTATCGAAAATTCTTTCATGAACAGATATTACATGTGTGTTGGGTATTGGATGAATGTCCAATAATAATTTAAATTTTATGTAAAACAGTTTAATAAGATTAAAATATGTTAAATAACGTTAAATTTTAATGTTACATGTTATGTTGATGAGTTAGCGTCCGTCGCTCACTCTCAATTTTTATAATTGTCGAACTATTACGATTTCTTCACGTAAAATATTAACGCCAGCAGAAATGTAGGGTTGGACCGTACAATATCATTATTCAATAGATTTTGATTTTCTTAGCAGATTTTTATACAAGCCTAAATTTAATGAAAGTTTTAACTTTGACTTTGAACCATTTATATTGAAAAATTGTATTTTACACAATATTTCATTTCTCTTTCGTTTCAAAACGAAGATCGTATGAGCAGCGTACTGTATGCTCCGGCACGGAACCCATCGCAGTTCGTTTGCTTAGTACACTGCCTTGGTTAATGGATGATTGGGCCATAAGAACCGCGGGAATATATGCCATAAACGATTGTCTTGTATGAGTGTGTATGTTTCTACAAATATAAATGTAAAACATAGATATTGAGCTTAATGGATTGTTGGCCATTAGAACAGCGAGAATACGCTATAAAGCATTAACATGTATGACTGTATAATACATGTTTGTACAAAATATAAAATGAGAAATATACTTATTAGAGGTTAAAAGACGATTAGACCATGAGCACAATGATTATAAACGCCAAAAAGCATTATCTTTTATGTGTGTATAATATATCTTTGTACAAAATATAAAATGTTAAACATACATAACAGATTTTTTATTGATCTACACTAAAACTCGTTTTCTTTTTTATTAGACGCGGGTCTCTCCCGTTTCTGCAACAGATTCCTGTATGGAATATATTGCAGTTTATTTGATTAGTACACGGCCTTGGTTAATGGATGATTGGGCCATAGAATAGAACGGGGGAGTGAACTGAATATTAGATCTTTACGTCGTTTATTCATGTGAATAACGAGATCGAAGGTAGTTTTCGCATGATTGTGTAAAATTTATTTTAAGATATAAGCTTTCGTGGCTTTCGTGTAGCTACTAAAATGCCACTAACACGTCAATTCACACGTATAAATGTCAACACGAGATTTGTTTTGACGTTACAATCGTTTCCAAATTTGCAAATGCATGCATGCAAATTATTTAGAAAATGCCAAATTTCACGCTATTTACAAGTAAATATATATTAAAATCCATCTATCAACACAGCGACTCGGGTTTGTAGTAGTGATTAACTGATAATACGACGTAATTGCTTGTATGTGTGCTCCCGGCGACGCCTATCCACGTACAAAATAAGGTTGACAGCCATTCTATTGTGTATTATAGTATTCTATGGATTGGGCCATGAGAACAGCGGGAATATATGTCAAAAAACATTATCTTGTATGAGTGTATATGTTTGTACAAAATATAAAACAAACATTATAGATTTATTATTTATCTCTACTAATATTCTTCTTCGCTTTTATCAGTCCGTAAAATCCCATTGATGGACAAGAGCCTTTTACGTAGTAAGCATGGTATCCCTTAATCTTCACGCTTGGCAGATGGATTGACCATCGCAGTAGCAGACGTCTCGCACCTTTGACGTCGCTCTCTGTCTGACGTGTAAGATGGTTATACTGCCATCTATTGTAAGCGATAAGATTTTAGTTCTTTTTCCTATAGTGGCATCTCAAAATAGTCACTTGACGAAATAGTGTGATAGAAGCTCTTACATAGGCATCACATAGTATATGATTTGCTAAATTTACTCGAACACTACATATTGAATAACTATATATAATATACGGATTTTATCGCGTCTAATTAACTAATTTTAACTTATTTTTAATTTCTGAGATCTCCCCCCTCCGTGACCATGGGTGCTGTAAAGCACCGATGGCCACGGTCATGGAGGGCTGAGATGATTGAGGTCTCAATATCATAGTTAGTCCGGCTACCTTCAGTTTACGAATATTAATTTTTGGTCCGATCTACGCAGAATGACTTCAAGATACTGTAAGCTCATTCTTCGTAGATCGGACCAAAAATTAAAAGAAAATAAAATTTATTCATAAACTGAATCCCGGGCTAACTATGACAATGGGACGTCAAATATCTCAGTCTCCAGCTGTACCCGTGTTACGAAACGTCGGGAATTAAAAATAAGTTAAAATAAGTGAATTAAACACGTAAAATCCGTATATATAGTTTAATTCAACCAAATAGTAAAGACAAAATAATATTATTAAGAGGAGGTAAAGTTGTTGAACGAGTAACTCCTGATTCGATACTAAAAATTTCACTGATAAAAATCTACACTAATCCCGATTAGTATTTTATTAATTTTATTACAATATGAAATCAGTGTATATAAAAAAGTTGTATGTAAGTCATGGCTTATAGTGACAGTGAGAGAATTTTTGTTAACCCATATCATTCCGTGGTTGGCATAAATACCACGGGATAAATGACACAGGAGATGGGCAGCAGCATTTTCCTAATAACAAAAAAAGGCCTATATTCAGAAGCGAGCTTTTGATGAGCTGTGATGGTAGTGGTGGTATCGGAGAAGATGAGGTAATTGGCTGCTTTATCAGCGTGAGTTCACTAAACCGTAGGAGGAATTAACTCAAAAAAGTAATAACCTCGACCAACCAATGAAGCACGAAGCCAGGAAAGATGGTGCTGCCTCGGGCACGTTTTTACTGTCCAACTCCATATAACGGAATCATGGGGGTCCAATACGATGATGAGGAAATAGGCGGTGTAGGAAGGCGTGCTAATATTCTGAATTCTGAAGCGCCTTGCCTGTGAGAGGAATAGAAGGAAAAGTCCTCTTCCTAGGAGGGGACGCGGCTGGTGCTGATGGATGGGGAGGTTGTAGCGGGCACCAGTGGACACCTAAAAAGTGTTATTTAATATCTCATAATATTCTTTACTAACGCTTTGTCTCATTTTTATTTTGATAAAATAAATTTAAATACCAGTTCCGCACTGTCATTTCGTAAAAAAGAAAAAAGAAGCCCCGTTAATTACCAATTTTTTGTCTTTTCTGGGCTCCGGCTAATAATATCCTATTAGGTATTTGCTACGTATACTTCCACAATTCTTTTTTTAAGTGATAG